GCTCGTTATTCTCCAAAATAACTCTTACCACTATTATATGCCTGTATCTCATATACATCACAATTGCCCCGTCTGCCAGGTCCTGCCAGCAACGCCAAGCTGTAATGTTGCGACCGAGAACCCTTATTTACTCACAGAATCCGTTCTGGCATAAAAAAGGACAAGGGCAATGTGGTATAAAAGTTACACATCTTTATTTAATCTTCTAAACATTTAAAAGAAACATTTCATTTTCCTGGTTCCCTTCTTGATACACCCCTCAAATATCATAAATGTAGGACTCAACAACACCCCAAACTAAAACACAACAAATCAAATTAATAAGCCAAACCAAACGTTAATACCAAAAAAAACAAACACTAGTTGAACCCTACATTTACAATAAGTTAAAGTGCGGGTGCGCTGTAAACCTGAATTATGTAATATTATTTAAAGTGCGTGTGCCAAGGTATCTGAGGTAGACTTTGTTACAATAAAGGGCATAAAATTAAAGCTGGTGAAAGTGCTCGTGCTAAGGAGGCCTATTTGGGCGAAAGTGACTTGTGCCAACCCAAAGACCTGACCTTGCATTGCACTGACCCCCTGACCAAATATTGCACTTTTCCTCCAAGACCTCGGCTACTGTTAATCAATATTCAACTAAAACCAACACTAAGATAAAGAATAAAAAGCAAGAATAATGCAGCAGCAGTAGGGCAATCGCAAATTTAGAAGGGGAAGGGGGGCACTCTACATGGGGCTCCGAGCGCGCTACGAGCGGCCGCCGGCACCACCGCCTACTCCAGACAACACGCGCTGCCTTTCCAAAAGCCACCGAAAGCCCCGACTGCCACACCACAGCGTGCGCAGCCTTTTCTAATCGCGCAATCAGTGACGCCAGGAGCCACGCGCAGCGACGCACAGGTGGACGCACTCACAAACGCAACACAGCAGGACAACATAGTCTAATCACCCGGTTACAGCATATTAACACTTTTCATTGTGGCGCCACACTATGGGTCTATATATTTTGCTCCTTTTTTGCCCTTGGCCAGTCACATCCCTGAGTAATCTGTGTGTGCCTGGACTGTCACTGTTTGATCTCGAGCTTGTCAGGTGACGAAACTTTGGCAGCAAATGTAAATATGTTATATAATAATTTAATATAAATACTTCATACTTCATATTTTTTTTACATGCAGGCAGCCATGTTTGTTTTCAACACGTACAGCACATGTGCCTCTGACTGGTTAATCTGTCTGTCAATCACGCCCTCTGAAATCAGGCAGACAGGATACAGCTCCAGACCTACCCATCTTTTGTCAAAGCGTCGATTGTGGCTGGACAGGTACGACAGTTGTGTGAATCATGCTGGATTCTACAAACGTGACAGTACATAAGAAAAATACTTGAAGAAAATGTATTGAAGATTGCTCCACTTGATGCTGTAACACATATAATTTTTTTTAACTGATTTACTCAATAATGCAATAGTGTATCTGACAATTCAGTAATTAACAAAAATTAAGTTACCTGAACATGAAGGGGCTGGTGTGGTTGGGGCAGCTTTAATGGTCGCAACAGCAGGTATAGCAGTTGCAGTTGGGGCTGTTGTGTTTTTTGCCGTTGGGGCAGCTGCTGAGACTGCAATACATCCAGAACAGCGCTGCCAGGATCCTGATGAGGGTGCGCAAATTTGACCATGTCACCCCCATCCTGAAATCCCTTCAGTGGCTCCCTATCCCACTCAGGATTGAGTATAAGGTCTCCCTCCTCACTCACCAGTGCATCCGTGGACAATCCCCCTAGTACCTTAAGGAACTCCTCACTCTCCAGACCCCCTCACACACCCTCCGCTCTGCATCTGCGAACACTCTCCACCCCCCAGAACCAAACTCTGCTCCATGGGTGATCAGGCCTTTTCTGCTGCAGCTCCAAGGCTCTGGAATGCACTCCCCCGACCACCTGAGAGAGCCCCACAGTCTATGTCTGTTTTTAAACAATATCTTAAAATGTATCTTTTACCAAATCCTTTTGTTAATTGAATTTTATTTTATTGGTTCTATGTTGTGCACTATAATATGTTTAGCTTGATGCACTTTTATTCGCAGTTTTTACCTGTAGCACTTTGAGATTATTTTATGTAAAGTGCAATATAAATAAAATGTTATTGTTATTGTTATTGTTATTGTTATTATTGCGGTTGTTGGGGTAGTAGTTAGGGCAGCTGTAGTTTTTGGGGGAGCTGTAGGTGTGGTTGGAACTATTGTGGGTGGAGCAGCTTTACTAATTGTTACTGAGGCTGTTGTTGTGGTTGTGGGGGCAGCTGTAGTTCTTGGGGCAGCTATAATTTGAGCAGCAGCAGTTGTTGGGGCAACTATTGTGGTGTTTGGGGCAGCAATTGTAGTGGTTGGGGCAGCTGTAGTTGTGGTGGTTGGGACTGCTTCCTCCTCCTCCTCCTCCTTACTTTTTGTTATAAACTGTCTGTTGTAACTTCTGGATGAATCTGCGTGTTATTTTTCCCTCATAAAAGGTGTGGGTACATACTAGTACAACAGGTCAACACACACAAGATCATGTGTTTTGATAGTCATGCCCTAATGCGTAACTATTATCTTTTTGTATTTTTTGGGGCAGCAGTCAAAGCAGGGACTCCCAGACTTCCCTCACCCCAGACATGTCCTCCAGCTCCTCCGGGGAGACCCCGAGGTGTTCCCAGGCCAGCTGAGAGACATAGTCCCTCCAGCGTGTCCTGGGTCTTCCCCGGGGCCTCCTCCTGGTGGGACATGCCTGGAACACCTCAGGAAGTGTTCCGGGCACGTCCACAATGCATCCGGCACAGATGCCCGAGCCACCTCAGCGGCTCTACTCTGAGCTCCTCCCATGTGACTGAGCTCCTCACCCTATCTCTAAGGGAGCGCCCAGTCACCCTGCAAAGGACACTCATTTCGAGCGCTTGTATTCGCGATCTTGTCCTTTCGGTCATTACCCAAACTTAGAAGAGCTGATCCTCATCCCAGCTGCTTCACACTCGGCTGCACACCACCCCAGTGCACATTGCAGGTCCTGGTTTGATGAAGCCAACAGGACAACATCATCGGCAAACTGCAGAGATCCTGTGGTCCCCAAACCGGACCCCCTCCGGCCCCTGACTGCACCTAGAATTTCTGTCCATAAACACAATGAACAGAACTGGTGACAAAGGGCAGCCCTGACGGAGTCCATTGCCACAGCAATGGCATAAACTCTCCATGTTATTCTAATGGTGAAATCGCCAAATCGCACAAATCGCACAAACTTTGACTTAAATTTGAATCAGAATATAGATTGACTGTAAGAAAATAGAAAAATGGGTGCAATAGCACCCCCTACCAATTTGCACATCAACTTACAGCTAGGGTTAGGTTTCATTTTAGGGTTATGTTTAGGGTAAGTCCTAGTGTTAGGCTTGGGACAGGCGTTAGAGCTGAAGTTGGGGTTTTTGGTTATGGTTAGCCAATATTTACAACAAAGTGTAACAGCGTGTAAGCGCAGCAGCACAGCACACGAGCAGCACACACGCTGGTTTGGTTTTCCATTTGAACTGGTCGGACACACCACACCAGCAGTGTCATACGCGCATCCAATGGCTGTCATGATGCTATGCACTGCTCAAATTAGGTTGGAGTTCTACTTTTGGAGCTTTTTAGCAGGGGCAAGACAGGAAATAAGCCTGTGGTGTGAAAATAAACTTTTGATGCCTTTTCAAAAATATGTTCTCTAAAACCACTACACTGCGTAAAAACCATGCGGCCCATCCAGGAGCTCGGATAATGACTCATGATGGACTATGGAAAGTTTACAGTCATGGAAGATAAATATAAAACACTTTATGACATCAGACAGCAACTTTACAAGAACTGCTTCTGAAGGAAAAGGTGCGTGGTGCAGACAACCAAAGTGAAATGGTGAGTAGCTTAATTAGTGCAAAGCATTGTCTCTCTTATTGTGAACCTTTTATATTTTGTACTGTGATTTAAAACTTAATTCATCCAATCAACAATGAATACATAAACAATGTAAAAAGTTTAGTGTTTAAACATGAGAATACACAGAGGTTGGCATCACAGGAGCAGTTCTGCTGCCTCTGATGTAAACTGAAGCTTTTAAAAGTACGAAGTGTATGCAGCTCTGCCTGGTTAGTGTGGTGCACAGCGGTTGCAGTGCGCGGCGTAGGCGCGTGGGAGGGCCGATCATTGCCGCTTGCGGCTATATTTTTTGTTTACTTCCTTCCACTTCCTCAGTGTGCCCAGAGTGTGGCAAAGCAAATGGAGACACTGGTCACGAGACACTAGGCTTATGAAATTAAAAAATGGGCCTGGCTGGGCTTATAAGAACATTACCTTATAATAAACTGTGAAAAATTTTAAATGAAACAATAAAAGCAGCCTGTCTACCACCCAAATCTTCAGCTTTATAGTGTAGCTGCTTAGGGAGGTGAAGTCCGAGATTTTTTCTGTATATCGCCTCCAAGTGTATTCCAAACGTAATTACAGTTTACGGGCCAGCCCTCTGCTGGAGGCTCTCTGCAATTGCCTTCTTTTTTCTGGAAATAAAGAAGAAACATCACGGAGTGGAGAAGAAAAGCTGTACCCCGTGTTATTTTTACGGGCTCGTGCTGTTCTAAACGTTTTCTATTAAGATCCCCTCTTCACTTTTCCTGAAGCCAAACCTCGGTTATCCTTGTGCTTTTTCATCTTGAGTCAAACCATGGTAGAACCCAGACACATCGAAACACTTGAGGTTTGTGGGGGGAGATGGTGATTGTTACAAATACAATACGCTTTAATGTCCTCACACAATGTTTTGTTGTCGAAAACATTGGTACACTGAGACGCGTGTGCGTTTTTGGTAACGTGTGCCATGATAATGGAAGATAACGCGTATGGCACGTCAAAAGAACACAAGCAGAGTGACAAGGACGAGGAGAGAGAGAGAAAGGGGAGGGGAACTGACATTAAAGCAACACAACAAGGAAACTACACTGCGGAGCCAGACGCCTTCATTTCTGTTTTTGAATAATAGCCCGAGCACTGGCAAAGTGTGGTCGACGTGTGAAGCTGCCCAATTCTCGCACAGCCTCAAGTGGCCCGGAAAGAACCTCTTTTGACCGGGTTGGATTTAAAGGCGCTCGCTGATGTCCGCAGATATGGGTGAGAATAATGAAAGAGACTCATAATAGTGATAGTAGTGACTTAAACACAAGGAGCAGGCCTGTTCTGGCCGAGCCCCATTGAAGCGTCAAACAAAAGACCAACCAGAGCATCGCGCTAATTAAAGAAATGACACTTTTGTCTAGTATTAAGAGTAGCCCTTTTCAGTAAAGGGGGTGAACATCTTCGTTGTGAAGGTATTACCCAGCTGCTATTAATGCGCACCATGACGGCATGATGATGTCCAATAGACATTTACTATAGAGATGAATAAGCTATGCATGAAACCAAAATGCTGTCTCAAAAGTTTCATAAAAAGTTCACAGAAGAACTGCAGTTGTACTAAACCCTATGGCACATGGTGTATTTCAGGTTCGGAGCGCCCCTGCTCGCCACAGGTGGTGGAGGATGGAGGAGAGGAGGATGAGGAGGAGCTGAGTGGAGGAGAGGAGGCAGACCTGCGCTCCAGTATGGGCCGAGGGTCTCTGCTCACACGAAGAGGCATCACCCTCAGGGTCCTGCTGAAAGACGGCCTGGTGGAGCCTGGAGAGGGTGTCCTGACTATTCATTATCTGGTAAGAGCTGAACACAGAGGCCTGTGTGGACTGTCAGTAGTCTGAGTAAAACTATGTTCTCATTTTGTTTTAAAGGGAAAAAACTTTTCAGGGGACCTCCTGACTGACGGGAAGATCCGTTGGGTGGAAACAGGACAGACCTTTAACTCTCCAAGTGCGTGGGCCACACATTGTAAGCGACTTGTGAATCCAGCCAAGAAGTCGGGCTGTGGCTGGGCTTCAGTGCGCTACAGAGGACAAAAGCTGGTCCAATACAAAACCACATGGCTGCACAAGTACCAACCCAGTGCCGACATGGTGAGAGGCTGTAGTTTATGAAGTATCAAAGTAAATATGACAATGATAATGCTAACCCTGTGTGTGG